GTCAGAGGGAGAAGCAGACTCCCTGCTGAGCAGGGAGCCCGATGTGGGACTCGATCCAGGGACTCCAGGATCATGACCTGAGCTGAAGGCAGTCGCTTAACCAACTGAGCCACCCAGGTGCCCTGTTTTCTTATTCTTGACTTGCTCCCCGATTAACTTCTTTTGTCTACAAATGGCAGACACCAATATTTTCAGGACACATAAAAACGAATGTTATCTTCCACAATTTTTGTAATTTGGAACTTGAACTGAGCCAGCCCAAATTCTTTCACAACTGGTTAAGAGGAGACGAAGTTTGCATTTCTTTTGCTGATGAAGAAAAACATGGAGGAATAGTCCTCCGAATAAATGTTAGTGTTTTGCAGTTCTTACAGAATAGCTGTTGGCTCCAAAAATCACTGAGCAACAAAAAAGTCCCCATTAAAAGTTAATGGCTACCTGGCTGTTTAAAAGGAGTTCTGTAGACTTTACCAGAAGCTGCATGTCAGAGCCTAGCTCTTCCCCGGGTTTTCTCTCCTCGGGCATTCACAGGAGATTGCTTTGCCCTGTGGGAGTCTTGCTCTTCCCAATAGCGTGGAAAAAAAAAAATGCAATAGGCAGTTTCAGGAGTGTTGCCTTTGACAGCGTGTCTCAGGGGACTTAATATTCTAGGTGGCAATTGGCCAAAATAAGTAGGAAACTGAGGGGAGCTGCCAAGCTATACTGCTGCTGAGAGTGCAGCCATAACTAAGTAGAAAGTGGAAGGAAAGTTTTTCCATGGAAAAGAATGAGAAACTGAATGGCTAGTGGCGAGGGAGGACTCCTGGTTCGGGTGTGCAGGGGGAAGGATAAACATTTGTAGATCTTTATAACAGTCTCATAAAAAAGCTATTTGAGAGTAGGTTTTTTTTTTTTTAAGATTTTATTTATTTATTTGAGAGAGAGAGAATGAGAGAGAGAGCAGATGAGAGGGGGAAGGGTCAGAGGGAGAAGCAGACTCCCCGCCGAGCAGGGAGCCCGATGCGGGACTCGATCCCGGGACTCCAGGATCATGACCTGAGCCGAAGGCAGTTGCTTAACCGACTGAGCCACCCAGGCGCCCTGCGAGTAGGTTTTATAAAAAAAATCTATCACAGAGCTATTTGAAGATAGTTTTGTTGATTTGAATATTGCTTTCCTTCATGCTTGAGACATCGGTGTTTTATCATTAACAACACATTTGTCTGAGTTATGAAGATAATATAATGTGGAATCCCAACAATCTTTTTTTAAAGATATTATTTATTTATTTGAGAGACAGAATGAGAGAGAGAGAGAGAGAGCATGAGAGGGGGGAGGGTCAAAGGGAGAAGCGGACTCCCTGCCGAGCAGGGAGCCTGATATGGGACTCGATCCCGGGACTCTAGGATCATGACCGGAGCCGAAGGCAGTCGCCTAACCAACTGAGCCACCTAGGTGCCCCTCCCAACAAATGTCTTAATGGCCACAGGTTTGGCCCATGCCAGAACACACAGCCCTTTGTGATGTGATTTTGCTGCTTGCATCCAGAAGCTGAATCCATTCTCCAGCCCCTGTAATGTTAGGCTTTGTGACTTACTTGGACAGATATGATATGGTGGGAGTGATGTTGTGCAAGTTCTAGAATTTAGGCCTTGAAAAGCTCTGCGGCTTCCACCTTTGTCGTCTTGGAACCTCATGCCACCAAGAAGCCTGAGATGAAAGCGCAGGAGGAGAGGAGATTCCCACTGAGCCCAGCCCCCAGCACACCCACTCGCTGATCGCAGCTACATGGATGAGCTCAGGTGAAATCAGCAGAAGAACCACATGGCCAACAGAATCATGAAAAATAATAAATCATTGTTGGCTTAAGCCACTGAGCTTTGAGGGAGTTTGTTCCATAGTGATAGATAGCCATGCTTGTCTTATTGTCTGTAATTATCACGATCATACAAAGTTGAGAATTTGTTGACATAGCAAGTGTTTCCATCAAGAGCTCTCAGGTTTTTTAAGAGCCCGAGTTAGCCTATGTGAAGTCCTCACAAGCCCCAGGCTGCAATCTGCGATCATTATCATGACATTTGATGGTCATCCTTGAAGTTGGTGAGATATAAGAAAATCACATTATTTTATATCATCCGCAGAGCAGCCCAGTGAAGCAGGCTTGTTCTGTGCAGGTGAAGGCTGAATGCACAGGTAGGTGCAGGAACATGACAAAGGTGTTGAGACCACGGTGTGTCTTGAGAAGGGATATCCCTGAGGAGACGTCAATGAACCTCTTTTTTCTATTTGGAGAATGAAGAGGTTGTATTAGCAGATTTCTGAAGTTGCTTTCATCGTGGCAGAAGTCTCAGACTGGGCCACATGAATCAGAGCCAGTGGAGAAGACAATAGAGCTGACACCAACAGGAACAGAAGCTGAGAGAAACCAGCCTGCTTGAGGCCTAGGCATCTGGATTTAATAGGAAGCCATTCATTCACTCCATTCACTCAGCAATAATTTGCAGAGTGTCTTTTCTCTCAAGAGAGAGAAGACACTGGAGATGCAGTGGAGGGTAAATCCCACAAAGCCTCTGCTTCTATGGGAGTTATTCTGGTAGGGGGCTCATGACAACAAGTAAACAAACACTCTGATAACAGAGAGGAGTGCTACGAAAGAAATAAAAGAATAATGTAATAACAAGTGATGGTGGTAAGTGTGGAGGGCACCTCGGAGTAGGTGGTCAGGGAAGGCCTCCCTGAGCTGACCTTTGACCAACGTGGGTTTAAGTCCTGGTGCTGCTTCCTATTAGCTCTGTGACATGAGACAGCCAAGTAACCCGTCTGAGTCTCAGTTTTCTTATCTGTTGAGTGGGGACAACCATAGGAGGTTATTGTGTAGAATCAATTAAGTAATGCATGTATAATGTCTCATACAGATAAGGCTTTCCATAATTATCATTTTCTTTTAATTCTCTCTTCCAAGTGGTATGACAAGCCTAGGCATTGTTCCAGTGTTCTTTAGTTGGGGGTCAGTAGGGTGGAATAATTCTTCATTGTGCAGGACTGCATGTGTGCATTGCTGGACACTTAACAAACCTGGCCCCCCACCAACTAAATGCCAATAGAATTTCCCCAGTCATTTTGACAACTCTAAAACCATCCTGTATGGGTTAGCTTTTGCTAAGTAACAAATCATCCAAAACTTAGTGGCTTAAAACAAAAAGCATTTATTGTTTCTCATGAGGTACTGAGTTGGGCTGTGGGTGTTCTAGTCTGAGCCAGATTGAATAGTCCAGAGTAGTCTCCCTCACATTTCCCAAGCCTCAGCTGAGACAGTTGGGATGGTTGGGGCTCTCCCCACGGTTTCTCATCTTCTAGGGGGCTAACATGAACTTCTTTGTGGTTACAGCATTATCAGCAGCAAGGGAAGGCAAGCCCCAATACACAAGCATTTTTCAAGCCTCTGCTTAATTCATCAGTGCTAATGTCCTGTTGACCAAAGTAAGCCACATGGCCAAGCTTAGATTTATTTATTTTTTAAAAGATTTTATTTATTTATTTGACAGAGAGAGAGAGATAGCGAGAGAGGGAACACAAGCAGGGGGAGTGTGAGAGGGAGAAGCAGGCTTCCCGATGAGCAGGGAGCCCGATGCGGGGCTCGATCCCAGGACCCTGAGATCATGACTTGAGCCGAAGGCAGACGCTGCATGACTGAGCCACCCAGGTGCACCCAAGCTTAGATTTAAAAGGTAGAAAAATAGCCTCTGACTCTTAATGGGTGGAACTGCAAAGTCACATAGTAAAGGGACATACATCCAGCAATGAGAAGAATTTGTGGCCTTTTTTCATTTTTGCAGTTTATCAAGGTCCTGCTCTGGCTACAAATTATTCCCTTTCCTCCCATGTGTGAAATATGCTTATCCATACTCCAAGACCCTCAAAACTCTTGTGCTGATTATTGCATCAGATTTAAGTTCACTATCTTTTGATCTGCATCAGATCTGAATGTGGCTAAGGGTGTAGTATTGGGTGAAGCTATTCTTTTTTTTTTTTTTTAATTGTGGCTTTACATTACATAAAGTTTACCATTTTAACCATTTTTAAGTGTATAGTTCAGTGGTATTAAGTACATTCACATTGTTGTACCATCATCACAACCATCCATCTCCAGAACTTTTTTCATCTTGGAAAACTAAAACTCCATACCTGGGGCACTGACTGGCTGGCTCAGTTGGTAGAGCAAGAGACTCTTGATCTCGGGATTGTGGTTTGAGCTCCATGATGGAGATTACTTAAAAAGAGATTACTTAAAAAAAATAAATCTTAAAAAAAAAAACCCCAAAACCCTAACAACTCTGTACCTATTAAACAATAACTTCCTATCTCCCTCCCCGGCCCTTTGGTAACCCCCTGGCAACCACCATTTTACTTTCTGTCTCTACCTATTTGACTACCCTTCAAATAAGTGGAATCCTACAGTATTAATCCTTTTGTGACTGGTTTATTTCATTTAGCATAATGTCTTCAAGTTTCTTTTTTCTTAATTTTAATTTAAAAAATTTTAAAAGATTTTATTTATTCATTAAAGAGAGAGAGAGAACAAGCAGGGGGAGAGGCAGAGGGAGAGGGAGAAGCAGGCTCCCTGCAGAGCAGGGAGCCTGATGTGGGACTTGATCCCAGGACCCTGAGACCATGACCTGAGCTGAAGGCAGATGCTTAACCATCTGAGCCACCCAGGTGCCCCTTTATTTTTTATTTTAAAAGATTTTATTTATTTATTTGAGAGAGTGTGAGTGAGAGAGAGAACACAAGTGGGGGTGGACAGAAGGAGAGGGAGGAAGACTCCCTGCTGAGCAGGGAACCCATCTCGGGGCTCGATTCCAGGACCCTGGGATCATGACCCAAAGACAGACATTCAAATGACTGGGCCACCCAGGCGCCCCATCTTCAAGTTTCATCCATGTTGAAGCATGTATCAGAATTTTCTTCCTACTTATTTGTTTAATTTCAATTTGAGTAGAGCTGACACACAATGTTACAAAAAAAACATGGAACACTCCACAAATTTGTGTATTATCCTTGCACAGGGGCCCTGCTAATCTTCTCTATATTATTCCAATTTTATTTTTTTTAAAGATTTATTTGTAAAGATTTAATTTATTTATTTGAGAGGGAGTGCGAGCTCTCATAGAAGTGGGGCGGGGGAGAGGGAGAAGCAGACTCCCCACTGAGCATGGAGCCCGACTTGGGGCTCCATTCTGGGACCCTGAGATCATGACCTGAGCCGAGGTTAGACACTTAACTGACTGAGCCACCCAGGTGTCCCTAAAGATTTATTTGTATATTTGAGAGAGAGAGAGAGAGGCAGGGGCTGAGGGAGAAGGAGAGAGAGAATCTCAAGCAGACCCCCCCACCGAGCTTAGAGCCTGACAGGGCTCAACCCATGACCCTGAGATCACCAATGGAGCCAAAATCAAGAGTCAGATGCCCAGTCGACTGAGCCACCCAGTTTGCCCCTTATTCCAATTTTAGTACAGGTGCTATCAAAGTCAGCATTTTCCTGTTTAAAGCTGAATTGTCTTTCATTGTATGTATATACCTCATTTTATTTACCCATTCTTCTGTTTTTGTTTTTTTTTAAGATTTTATTTATTTATTAGAGAGAGAGATACAGAGAGACCACAGGTTAGGGGGGGAAGGGTAGAGGGAGAGAGAGAAACAGACTCCCCACTGAGCAGGGGGCCCGATGTGGAACTCGATCCCAGGACCCTGAGACCATGACCTGAGCTAAAGTCAGACGCTTAACCAACTGAGCCACCCAAGCGCCCCCATTCTTCTGTTGATAAACATCTGAGTTGCTGCCACATTTTGGCTATTGTGAATAATGCTGCTATGAATATGGGAGGGCAAATAGTTCTTTTTGTCACTGCTTTTAATTCTTTTTATACCCAGAAGTGGAATGGCTGGGTCATATGGTAATTCTTTTTTTTTTTTTTAAAGATTTTATTTATTTATTTGACAGACAGAGACACAGCCAGAGAGGGAACACAAGCAGGGGGAGAGGGAGAGGGAGAAGCAGGCTTCCCGCCGAGCAGGGAGCCTGATGTGGGGCTCGATCCTAGGACCCTGGGATCGTGACCTGAGCCGAAGGCAGACGCTGAATGACTGAGCCACCCAGGCACCCCTCATATGGTAATTCTATTTTTAATTTTTTGAAGAACTGCTGCATATGGCTATTCTTAATCCAAGAATCTGAGTTAAAAAGGCATGTTATCTGCTCCCCAGCCACCTAATGAGCACTGTTGTTCAAAAAGAGGTAGTACAGCAACAACAATGAAGAGGAAGTATAGGAGGTACATAGCAATCATTGGTTCATAGCATTTTTCTTTCTTTTTTTTTTTTTAAGTAATCTCTACACTCAATGTGGGGGCTCAAACTTAGAACTCTGAGATCAAAAGTTGCATGCTCTACTGACTGAGCCAGCCAGGCGCCCCTGGTTCATAGCACTTCTGAAGCCAAACTAGGCATGTGTTGCTAGATCCCCTTACTCTGAATGTTCCTTAATTGGGGCCTGCTCTGAGGAGTATTGCTAATTCACTGTTCTTTGAGGCTTTTCATTCCATTCTCAGGGATCTTGGCTCTACTTTCTGAAATATCCTAGTTTTCATAAAAATGCCTTGTGTTTGGGGCGCCTGAGTGCCTCAGTAGGTTAAGCGTCTGCCTTCGGCTCAGGTCATGATCCCAGGGTCCTGGGATCGAGCCCCACATCGGGCTCCCTGCTCAGCGGGGAGCCTACTTCTCCCTCTCCCTCTGTTGCCCTCCCCCCTCATGTGCTCTCTCTCTCTCTGACAAATAAAATCTTAAAAAAAAAATAGCTTGTGTTTGTAGCTGAGCAGTTTCCTCAGCCTGCTTCTTCTTCTTCTTTTTTTTTTTTTTTTAGATTTTATTTAATTGACAGAGAGAGAGAGAGAGAGACAGCATGAGGGGGAGCACAAGCAGGGGGAGAGAGAGAGGGAGAAGCAGGCTTCCCGCTGAGCAGGGAGCCCAATGCGGGACTTGATCCCAGGACCCCAGGATCATGACCTGAGCCGAAGGCAGTCGCTTAACCAACTGAGCCACCCAGGCGCCCCTCTCAGCCTGCTTCTTACCCATGGGGACTTGGAGGCTTAGAGAGTTACTTGGAATTTGGACAATCTCAGTCTCTTTCAGTCTGAGCTGATAGAAGACCCTTAAAAAATGTTGTAGGCTTTCTTTTTTTTTTTTTTTTTAAAGATTTTATTTATTTATTTAGGAGAGACAGAGAGAGAGAGAGGCAGAGGGAGAAGCAGGCTCCCAAGGAGCAGGGAGCCCGATGTGGGACTCGATCCCAGGACCCTGGGATCATGACCTGAGCCAAAGGCAGACGCTTAACCATCTGAGCCACCCAGGTGCCCCATGTTGTAGGCTTTCTATAGGTCAGATTTATAGTCTACTCCGTGAGATAAAAGTCATATCCACAATTCTTTTCGAGACAGGCCCACCCTTTAGACTTGTTCATAGCTATTTTGAAATTAAGCCTCTTTGGGACCATGTCCTCAGGATTCCTGGAAGCCCTTTTGTCTAACGAAGAGTGTCTACCAGGTACCACCGTGAGTGTTTCTGAGGTTTTAGCAAAGGGTCGTAGAGCCAAACCCTCAATTTGATCTGTACCCTGAGGCCATTTCTTACTCTGAGAATCCATTGCTGCCTGGATCAGCTAGAGATGTAAAACAGATTTGTTTTCCAACATAAGCGAGTCCTGGATTTTCTGTTTCTTCTAAATTCCTCTTGTGGACTCTGGTTCCTTCTTTTCTCTCCTCCCTCTGGAAGCACTTTATCACGTGCGGCGCCGGTTAACCAGCTGGGACTTCCCAACATTTGGCTTGGAAATCACTATAGCTAGATCCAGAAATTTATTAGCTGCATTTTCTGTCTTTCGTGTTTCCACAGGTGACAGTCTTGCTAGTGGTTTTATTGCTGCATACCACAAATCATCCTTGCACTTTTCCATCTACACCAATGATTCCTTCACTGTTTTTCCAGCCTGAGCTCACAGTTTCCTCCTGCTTTTCCAGCTTCTTCCCATTGCCCGTCCCCAAACCAGATGCACGTCTGGTGGGTTTTGTTCTGGCTGCCCTTCACTCATGCTACCAGTAATGGTGTCAGCGAGAGTTCAGTCGGGGAAGCAGAGCCATCCAAAGCATGATGGAGAGAAGGCATTAGGAATTTGCGACATTACACAAGTGTGAGAAACCAGGGACGTGGAAGTCTGGGAGGGAGCTGAAGGATCAAAAGAGTCATTACCCAGTCTGCCTGCAGTTAGACACGTGGGAGCTGCAGAGGAATCTGAGAGGCCAACCACCACTCAGGCCCTGAAATGGGACCACAAAGGGAGAGCCCACAGACAGGTGTTTAGAAGCTGTTGTCTGTGAGTCTGCAACCGCAGATCGGTCTGGGAGTGTCCCTGGGCTGCTATTGGTCTCAGGGCCCACAGTTGAGGAGATGATCTGTATGCAGAGGGAAGGAGCACGAGGACAAGCTGGCGCCTGCCAGACACCCCAGAGTCAGTCCTTCGCCTCATCCGACTTGAGACCTCCTGAAGATAATTGCTATTGTCTCATGTCTGCCTTGCAAATTTCGCTCAAGTGCCTCTTCTGGCCAGATCTAACTCGGAACACACAGAGAAGGGGATTCTGGGAACCGTACTTACCAAGTTGGTAAGAGCCCAACCCAGCACACACCGCATGCATTTTTCCATGCCTCCTGGGGAGATGGTACCACTTTACTGGGATCTGTTGAGAGAGGTATAGAGGTACAGAGATGTAGGCATTTATGTGTGTGTGGGAGGTGGAACGAGGCGGGTGAAGGATAGTGCCATCATGGTTTTTGAGCGATTGGTCCGACTCTATTTTCTGTTGGAAAACAGAATCCAGCCTACTATTCCTGGTGTCTAAGAATTATCTATAGCTGTGGTTTCCAACACTCTATTCACATTAACTTCTAGGCCCACTGTCATCCGTCTCCATTAAAACTGATCTTATGAAGAATACTAATGACCTCCTTGGCGCTAAACCCAAGGGACACTTTTTGGTTTTTATCATACTTAATTTGGTGGGGGAGGGGAGTATGAATTGTCAACCATTTCCTCCTTCATGTTCTTTCTTTCTCGGTTCTTAGGATGGATTATTCTTTTTTTTTTTTAAATACTATTTTTTTTTAAAGATTTTATTTATTTATTTGAGAGAGAGAATGAGATAGAGCATGAGTGGGGGAGGGTCAGAGAGAGAAGCAGACTCCCTGCCGAGCAGGGAGCCCCATGTGGGACTCGATCCCGGGACTCCAGGATCATGACCTGAGCCGAAGGCAGTCGCTTAACCGACTGAGCCACCCAGGCGCCCAGGATGGATTATTCTTTTGAGATTTCTTTTGTTCTGTCCATCCCTTAAATATTTGTGTTAGGGTTATATGCAGGGCTCTCTACTACTCAGTGGGGGACTGAAGCAGGCTCTCAAGAACCAACTGGGTGCATCTCTTCATAGTTCCACGTTCAGTGATGATAAGTTGGTAGTTTGAAATTGACCACAGTGGGAGTATTTACACCACAGACATCAGCAAATGCTCCTATCATAGCTTCTCTTGCTGGAGAGCTGATTGGGAGACACTTGAATAGCAGCACATCACTGCTTTTAGATCGGCTCTTCACACTCTCCCTGGATAATCCACAGTTATAGTTTCAAGCACCATCTCTGTATTGATGACTATCACATCTTTCATCTCCAGTTAAGATCTGTCTTTAGGTTCAGCTTTTCAAATACCTTCTGGCTTTCCCTGACTGTTCCACAAGCATATCATATTTCCCCTTAAAATAGCTCTTTTTTTTTTTTCTTAAATTGTCTCAGTGAGGGGCGCCTGGGTGGCTCAGTCGTTAAGCGTCTGCCTTCGGCTCAGGTCATGATCCCAGAGTCCTGGGATCGAGCCCCACATCGGGCTTCCTGCTCAGCGGGAAGCCTGCTTCTCCCTCTCCCACTCCCCCTGCTTGTGTTCCCTCTCTCGCTGTGTCTCTCTCTGTCAAATAAATAAATAAAATCTTAAGAAAAAAAAAATTGTCTCAGTGAACGGCACTATCCTTG